AGACCCCGCCCGACGGCGGCCGTGAGGGCTGGGCCCGGGCGGGCGGCACCGGCGAGCTCGGATGGGCACTGCGGGGCCGGGGGCAGCGCTGGGGGCTGAGTGAGGCACACGGAGCACAGTGCGGCACTTGGGGCGCAGACGGACGGGGCAGGATGGGACGGGGAAGGCGGCGAGGGAAGGTCGCAGCAGCGGCCGGCGGCAGAAGTGGGGCCAGAGAGCAGTGAGGCGCTGCTGGGGCTGGGAGGCGCTGAAGTCAGTGATTCCCAGTCACCTTGGCTGGAAGCCACCTTCCCGTCCGCTTGCCTTCACTGAGCCACAAGCTGAGGGTGAGAGAAGAGCTCGGGTGTCCTACAGCTGGGTTTGACACGATTGTGCCAATTGACCGCACCGAGTCACCCACCAGTCTCAAACTCAAGCCACGGCAGACCACAGCCCCACACTCATCTCTGCCAGCAGTCCCACTCCTGCCAGGGACTGAACACAGCAGAACTTGACCCGTGGGGGAGCAAGGAAAGGCCCTGCGCATAAGAGGCATCACTAATGCGACAGCAGTGGCATGAAAAACGCTTTATTGGCCCCAGGCATCACTCCACTGCTTTGACCCGCGGCAGGTTGACATAGCTTTTCATGGGTGGGAGAGGCTTGATCTTGCGCCCAGCCCAGCCACCCTTGCGGTGCCACAAGCCTGTGTGTGGGCGCTTGCCCAGCCAGCGGTTCCGGCCCGCCTTCCCGATCACCCGCTTGTTGTGATCCACGTTGGACACGCGGCCCACCGTAGCCACACAGGTCTCCAGCACCTAGGGGACAGAGAAGAGCTGCAGCCCTCCCTGGGGACACATGGTTGCACGCCCAGGCAGTCGAGGCAGGCACAGCGCAGCTCCTTTACCTGCATATGCCTTTTGGAGGGCAGCTGCACGATGGCTGTCCCATTCACTTTCCTCAGCAGCACCCCACAGGTACCTGCAGCAGGCAAGAGAGGAGACAGCTACCTTGAGCAGCAGGACAAAGTATCTCACCCTGTGACAAGCACACCCTGGTAACTCCCCAAAGCCCCCCCACTATTGTACTAATACAGCATTTCTTGCTGAAGACAGGGCCTTGGGGAACCAACAGGGTAGAGCTGCCCCTGCTTTTCTGGAGGGATGTGTTTGCACTCTAGCATGAGGAGAAGATGGCAACTCCCTGTCACTGGCCACCCAGAGCAGTGCCCCCCCGCCCTCCTCTCCACTTTGCTCAGCCAAACCCCTGCAAACAGTGGGTTCCCTGTGTGGGGACACACCAGCTGCCCGGATGTACTGCGCTCCCTTCCCAGGGTGGCTCTCCAGGTTGCAGATCAGCGTGCCGACAGGCAGAGCCCCCAGTGGGTATGCGTCCCCTTCGCGGGCTGACACTGGAAGACAGAAGCTGACAAGTTGGGCAAAGAGCAGCCGACGAGCCCTCGGCAAGACCGGCACAGCTGCCCCTGGCCCTGGCGTGCACCTGCCATCCTGCCAATCTGAGGCGAGTTCGTGATGCTGTCCCCTGGCTGCATGTTCTCCGTGGCAATGATCCAGCGCTTGCGGTTGCCGCCGGCCACCAGGGCGATGTCAGCCGACCTGCACGGAGAGCCCGCGGC